GCCCCCCTTCCGAGCTGGGCCCCGGAGGCGGGTCCGGTGTCGCACGGGAAGGCGGCGGTCCTGGTCCTGCGGGTGCCGCGGGCCCGGCCTCCCGGCGGACGCCCAGCCTTGCTGTGCCAGGGGGGTGGCGCCCGGCCGGCCGGTTTTCATTCTGCTTGTAATCCGCGAGCGCACCCTTCCCTCCCGTTTACGCGCGCGCAGCCAGCAGACCCCCACGGAGCCCCCACTTCGCGCAGGGCGCTGCGGGGTGCTGGGGGCGCTGTAGCGAAAAAGGCAGGCTCCCACGCCCGCCTTGCTTCCAGAATGTACGAGGAGAAAATTGTGTTTACTCCCCCTCATTTTGCCCTACATACTGGTAAGGCTTTGGCTCTTCTTGTGGCTCAGGAACTTTCAGAGCGTTTTCGTTGTTTGTAATGCCATCGAGTGCAGCTGTGAAAGAATGAAATACACACTACTAAAATGATATTTTTCTTTACACTGCACTTAGGGCACATGGTGTAGGGCATGTACTGGTGAAAGTTATATATCTGGTAGGTTATGTTATTAGTGAATTTCATTCAAAATAACAGGTGTTTGAAACGAGTGAGAAAAAAAGGGGGATGTCAGGTTTGAGAATTGAGACTTAGTAAGTCTCAGGCTCCACCCGGCTTTTGTCTTTTCTTCTTCTTCCTTCACATTGAAATCTTTTTGCTGTTACAGATTAAAGGTGCAGCTGGTCTCATCTGAGTAGTAGAAATGAAAACATCAATAATTTACGCTCAGATTCTGTAGAGGTTATCATACCAGGTGGCTCATGTTCACCTAAGAATTTTTTTAAAAAATATTTTAAAAATTAATTTTATTAATTTGTTTGTATTGATTTGAGAGAGAGAGAAAGGGATAGGGAGAGAGAGAAAGAGAGAACATTGATGTGAGAGTGAAACATCAACCGGCTGCCTTGTGCACGTGCTCCATCAGGGATCGAGCTGGTAACCGGGGCATGTGTCCCGACCGGGAATCAAACCGGCAACCTTTTGCTCTATGGGATGACGCCCAAGCAACTGAGTCACATCGGCCAGGGCTCACCTAAAAAGTTTGATTACAAGTCATAGCTAATTTAATTTTATCATGGCATAGGGATCTTATCTCTTGCCTCGTTTTTCATTAAACAGACTTTCTGTAGTGTCAACATTGGTTTATGATTTAATTATTTGAAAGTGCAAACTAGAATGTACTAATATGGTCTCTTCCAACATTAGGATTATTTTTTTTTCTGTTGAATCAGGTTTTTGGTGTTAATACCATTCATGGCTCCCCTAGAGATTGCCCTGGTTATGAATTTCTGCTGTCAGTCAATATGATAACATTTTCAAATAATTAATCCACTTATAATAAAGATTTATTGTATATTGAGTCACTTGAATATTTATTTTTATTTTTGAATGGATGTTCCCTTTCCCTGTACTAAATTTATTACTTTCTTTTCAGAAATGTCTAATGCAAAAGAAAGAAAACATGCTAAGAAAATGAGAAACCAGCCCACCAATGTGACTTTATCTTCTGGCTTTGCGGCTGACCAAGGTATAAAGCACCTTAATGGAGGTGGAAAATCTTTCCGAGCTCAAAAACTAGGTAAGATACCCACAGTGCTCTCTCCATTCCCATTTGGAACAAATTGCTTTCATCAGCACCTTTTGATAGTTATCATCAAAAGGGTAAATGAGTTGATTTAAAAACAGATACAGTTAACCTTTATTATTTGCAAATTTGTATTTGCAAATTTAGCTAGTCGTGAAAGTTTATTTGTAACCCTAAAATTAATACAGTGCTTGGTGGTCATTCATGGACGTGTAGGGTGGAGATGAATTTCAGTTTGCCCCACGTGGGCGTGCCCGGCTTCCTTCCAGTTTCAGTGCTCATGCAGATGACTGAGGATGGAGATGGTGAGTGGGCAGTGCAGCATAGTGCCAGAAGCTCCAGCTCTGAGGGGTTTATTTCCAACTGTGGGGTGACCTCAGACAGGTCACTTAACACTTCTGAACCTCATTTATTTATTTATTTTAAATATATATTTATTGATTTTAGGGAGAGGGAGAGACAGAGATAGAAACATCAATGATGAGAGTCATTGATTGGCTGCCTCCTGCACGCCCCCTACTGGAATCGAGCCTACAACCCCGAATGTACCCTTGATCTCCTGGATCATAGGTTGATGCTCAGCTGCTGAGCCATGCTGGCCAGACATCATTTATTCTTTTGTAAAATAAAGGAAATAGAATCTACCAGGATAAGAGTTGTTTTTATGATTTAAGATTATAATCTATATGATATACAGGGTGTCCCCCCAAAATGGGTGCACACTTTGAATAATTATTAATTCCAATAGGTTAAATCTGAAAAGAAAGAAACGTCAATTGAGCTGTCAGGAAAAAAGTCTGTATACATTTTTGGGGGGACACCCTATATATATTCTCCTAGGAACAGTGATTCGGTATTGGGACTTCGTAGAACATAACTACTGGGAATAATGAGAATTAGCTTATTTATTTTAGAGTTGACATATTTTATGACTCTCTTGATTACAATTATTATTAAATTACACTTCTGTATTTTCTAAAAGAAATACAGTGCAATGGTCATATCTTCATTTAATTTGTGTGCTGATTTTAGAACCTCATGAGGTGATGAAGGTGATATTGTTTATTGGGCAGCAATAGAAAATGCCAATGTGGGAAGACAGCAAACAGGTGACCAATTACTTTTTGGTAACATGAAAGAATAGTGCGCAGTGTATCTGATTAAGTATGTTTTAGATTCATATTCATAAGATCTAGATGCAGATCCAACAGTTGATGCCTGCCACACCATGTGATAAACCTTAACACAGACTCTCACTTAAGCCTTGCAGTGACATGTCTTGTAATGTGCTTCACGTTCTATTATGGAGTTTAATAATTAGGACCATAATGGAAGGAGGCAGGAAGCCCTAAAATTCTCTCCTGATCTCTCCATTTACATACAAGGATTTGATGCTGTCTCGAAGTCATAATGGTTTGAATGTCCAGACATTTGTATAGAGATTTCGCTTTTATTAATTTTTTAAATTTAGCATAGGCTTTCAACTTGAGTGTGCCAGAGAATTATGATAAAGGGCTGAATATACAAAGTCACGTGGACTGTAGTACTTAAGAGAGCTTAGATTTAAGATCCATGGTGCACTATTTATATGGAGAAAAGTTCCCTTGTATCATTTCTTTCACGTCCTGTTGATACGATTAGCTAGTGTGCTGCTTATTTGCTGTATAACCTTGGGCAAGTTAATTTACCTCCTTACCCAAGATCCCTCCTCTTTAAAGGGAGGGTAGTAATAGCCATCTTACAGCGTAGTTATAGGATTGAAAACATGAGCAATGTTGCCACCCAACTGGTGTTCTCCACTATAATCTTTATTCTTGATGAGAATGACATATTTCTTTTTTTAAAAATAATATGCTAGATCCTGGAACATCGCGACAGCGGCAAACCAAAATGACCCACTATTTACTACCTGAGCCTGATGGGAATGAGCAGTCTTCCTCCAAAGTAATGTTTAAAAAGAAGGGAGGTTGGAAAGCAGGTCCTGAGGGCACATCTCAGGAGATTCCCAAGTACATAACAGGTAGGTGTTTGTGAAGAAGTGAGGTGGTGTGTTTTTTTTAATCCTCACATGAGGATATTTTTTTCATTGCTTTTCAGAGAGAGTGGAAGGGAGCGAGGGTGGGGAGGGGAGAGAGACATCAACTTGGTTGCCTCCTGTATGCACCACAACTGGGAGCAGGAACCCGTAACCCAGGTATGAGCCCTTGATGGGGAATCAAACCCACTACCCTTAGGTGTGTGGGCTGATACTCTTACCATTGAGCCACACTGGCCAGGGCAAGAAGTGAGGTTTCATTGTACTATGAGCTCTTTGTTTCTATTGCAGCCAGATTTCTAATGCCCTCTGTCTTGGCCTTGCTTTAGGCCCTTCTCACTTCGAGCGTTTGGACTTGGGCCTTATTGCTCTCCCTTCTACAATTTCACTCCTTTTCCTTACCTGTTTTTTTTTTTTATTTATTAAATATATCTTTATTGATTTCAGAGAGAGGAAGGGAGAGGGAGAGAGAGAGATAGCAACATCAGTGATGAGAGTCATTGATCGGCTGCAGCCCACAACCCGGGCATGTGCCTTGACTGGGAATTGAACCCTGACCGCCTGGATCCTAGGTCAACGCTCAACCGCTGAGCCACGCCTGGCTGGGCACCTGTCTTACAAGTCCTTATTTGTGAACTGTTCTACTTTGTCTTAAAATCCTCTCTCCACCCTCTTTAAAAAATATAAAATGCCATTTACATTCCTCAGCATGGCATTCTCCAAAGATGAAACCAAATTTAATGCACTCTAAAGGCAATCAAGACCTTTAAATACCTATCTCCAGGTACTTTCCAGCCTCATCTCCCATGGCCCCCACCACTCTTAGCCCTGCTACCACATAACCCCATATTTCTTGTACATACCTTAGGGGTACTTTCTGGTCTCTCTCTATACCTTCTTGGGGAAATTCACTTAAATTTCCCCAGCACTCTATTTACTTTTCAAAAAAAGTATTTTTCAATAAAGAAAACTAATAGTATGGTCACATATTTGTAAAAAGAAGAAAATATTAAGAAAAAAATCCTTGGAGTCAAAACTGTTGTTAATTTTTTTCTTTGTTTTTTGTTTGTTTTGTTTTGTTTGATGCCAAAAGCTGGGAGTGGACTTTTTTGGTTTTCCTGTGTCATTATTGTACTTAAAAATGGTTGTTATTGTATTGCACGTAGCTCTGTTTTAAAAACCTTTTTTTATAATCGTGTCTTTAAACTTTTTTTTTAAATTAGAAAAATGACACTGAATCCTTGTAGAAAACTTGAAAAAATAAAAGTTGAAGAGTAGTTTCAGAATCTCATAATACAAAAATAACCACTGTTGGGATTAATCTAATAGGGGGTTAGGGTAGTGGGTGAATTATGAGCTCATGTACTCCAAATCTCTTTTCCTTCTGAGATGTACCAGGAAAGTGTTGATTCAGGATGAGTTTTTAATGACGGTGCTCTTTCCTTCCGTAGCGTCCACCTTTGCTCAGGCCCGCGCTGCTGAAATCAGCGCTATGTTGAAAGCCGTGACTCAGAAGTCTTCCAATTCACTGGTTTTCCAGACTCTGCCGCGGCACATGAGACGAAGAGCCATGAGCCACAATGTCAAGCGCCTTCCGAGGCGGCTGCAGGAGATTGCTCAGAAAGAGGTACACGTTTTATGTGGTGTAAATGTGTAGATTAGTAGTTCCTAAAAGAAAGTGCAAAGTGTTAACCTAATAGTTTGTTAAAGTGATAACCAAAAACTACATGCTCATTTTACATATTTTGTTTTAATCGTTTATCCGCCTTCCACCTGCTTCTCATCCAGAAATTAGCAGGTAGTTGGATTTTACGGCTCCTTTTCAGAATAACATTTGGAACCCCTTTCTTTTAATAGTGTTAAAAAGTTGATGTTTCCCTCTCAGATTTGAAATGAAATTCTGACCTTCTTACCAGATAAGCAGTTTTAGCTCTGCATTTTGGGCGTGTGGCCAGCTTAGAGGTGGAGGGTTAAAAAAAAAAAGGCTGCGTCATTGCCTAGGACTTGCCTTTCTACTTTTTCAGTGTTGAAAACTTGAGCTTGAATTTAATTTTTGTTCAGGTCTGATTGTTTTTTGGCTTCACCACAAATTTTGGCTTAGACTTTCTGAGACTGTCTAAGCTACCCTTGTCTTTTATTAGCTGATTCGGAATTTCTTTATTGTGTGCCTTCTGTGTACCGGTACTACGCTGGTTGTGGGGTTAGAGTTCATCGGGGTGAAGTCCTTATTTGTGAGGGATCCACAAAGCAATGGAGACGCGTTCTTTCCACAAGAGCTTAGCTTAGCTGTGGAAGAGACTGAGTGAAAACTATGCAGGAACTTTATAGTTTCTAGATTTAATGGGAAGTCTGCATTTAGCCTTTACCTGTCAGCACCTAACTGGCCTGAAATGTGTAGGTTTTCCCACTTCTGTATTTTTGGTCCTAAGTTTTGGGTTTACTTATAATCTTAGAGGTTAAAAAAAACAAACAGAAAACCCCAAAAAACTAGTTTAGGATTTATTCCTTCTTGTTCTCTGTTACACTATCAATAGCCACAATAAGCTTGAGTTACTGTGTTGAACATTTTATAATTATTTTAATCTTTATAGTCTGTGAAGGTCATCCAGTTAGTGATAGGACGTGCTTCCTTCTTAGGTTTGCCTGCTGCTAAAATCTTCACTTCTTCTATTGCCCTTCTCTACTTTCATTGGAGAAATAACCCCAAGTTAAAAAATTAAACAAACTAATGGGGTCTGTAATGTGCTAGACTTAATCTAAAGTTGGTTTAAATTTGAATTCCTAACACTTAACTTTGTTCTGAAATGGTTGCAAACTGGTCCTGCCTCTCTTCTTGATACCACAGGCAGAGAAAGCAGTACATCAGAAAAAAGAACATTCAAAAAACAAATGCCATAAAGCTCGGAGATGTCACATAAACCGGATGCTAGAATTTAACCGTAGGCAGAAGAAGAACATATGGTTAGAAACTCACATCTGGCATGCCAAACGGTTCCACATGGTCAAGAAGTGGGGCTACTGCCTTGGGGAGAGGCCAACAGTCAAGAGCCACAGAGCCTGCTACCGAGCTATGACAAACCGTTGCCTCCTTCAGGTACGCTTTGCAATTGATTTTCTTTTATTTTTACTTCGACCATTTCTGATAGAGACTTTTGGAATAGTTCGTGTTGTGCCAAAGCCCTATCTCTGAGAGGACTTATTTTAAAAATAACTACTGAGCATGAGGCATTTTGCTAGATGCTGGAGATGAAGCGGCTTAAAAGCATCAGGGGAGACTGACATTAATAGCCAAATGCACAACTGTAAGGGTATATACAATACTGTGAGCATTCTTAGCACAGGGACAAGAAGGCTTCCACATGGAAGTGATGTTTGAGCAGAGCTCTAGGAATAAGAAAATGGGAGAGTGGGGGAGGCAGAGGGAAGCCAGATAGCGGGGGAAAAATCAAAATAAATCCCAGGTGACAAAAATAAAGAGAGTCACAGCAAGGCTAACTTTAGGGTGAGATTAGCTCTGGAGAACTAGTTCATGCAAAGTTTTGTTGGTCATGTTTGAGATATACTCAGCATCGATGCATATAGTAGTCATTTGTCAGTAACAGATATTTGGGAACCATTCATGGGCCCTGGGCAGTGTCCAAATGCTGTTCTAGATGTTGATGATTCAGTGGGATGCTGGGAAGTTGGTTTTAAACTCTTTGAGAGGACAGCTGGTTTTAGAGCCTCCTGATAGTATTTATCTGGTTGCCTCTCCCCAATAAAGATGCTATGGAGAGGAGTTGGTTTGGGGGTTGGTGAGCCTGTCTTGAACGCTGGCTTCTCTGCTTTCTGGTTATATGGCCTTGTTCAGTAACAGTCTCTGTCTCAGCTGTGAAATAAGTGACAGTCCACGTAAGGAGTCAGCCCAGCCCCCGGTATTCAGTAACCCTTTATTGACTATAAACTATTATTATAGTTTTATTTTTTTTTAATCCTCACATGAGGATATTTTTTCCATTGCTCTTTCAGAGAGAATAGGGGAATGAGGGGAGAGAGAGAGAGAGAGAGAGGTAGAAAAGCATTGTGAGCCTGCAACCAAGGTACGTGCCCTTGGCCAGAATCGAACCTGGGACCCTTTGGTTCATGGGCAGATGCTCTAACCACTGAGCCAAACTGGCCAGGGCCATTATAGTTTTTTAACGTATTGATTTTACTAGCTCGGTGTGATCTGTCTTTATCTTATTTAATTGGTAAGGTCTTACTCTCATTACTCTCATTTTTCCTTGTATATTGCTTAGTCAAAGTTGAATATTATAGTCAAGACGGAGCATGGGAGAAATACGGTATAAATTATTTGCAACATTGTGACTCTTGTTTCTTAGGTGGATTCCAGGGAAGAAGTTTTTACATTCTGCTTAGAACTTGTCTTTGACTATGGGATAAAACACAGATTTTCTTCATAAAACATAGGGCACCGTAACATATTTAAATGGAAATTCATCTTTATTTTGATTGAAGTTGGTTTAAGAATATTTGCTGATATAATAGGAATAGACGAGTTTCAGATTTTGACTTAGGAAATGATAGCTTTGGTAGTTCGTTTTGTGCCTTGGATTCTGGAAGTTTTTCTGATGTGACTCTTGGCTTCTTGCAGTTTCCCCCATGTAAACTGCCAAGTTTCTAATAACGTCTCTCTCTGTGCAGGATTTATCCTACTACTGTTGTTTGGAGTTGAAGGGTAAAGAGGAAGAAATACTAAAGGCACTTTCTCCAATGTGTAGCACAGACACAGGTAAACTTGTTTCAAATCTGAGTCCTGTATTGGTCTTTGATTCTTAATATTTCATGAAGACGTGTCCACTGTGTTTAGTAATTTAAACATTTATAAAAATGCATGAGACAGTTTTTGTTCCCAGTGAGTATGTTAATAAAAGAAAAGCTTGGGGTGGCTTTTATTTTTTATTTTTTTAAATATGTCTTTATTTTATTTATTTTAAAAAATATATCTTTATTGATTTCAGAGAGAGAAATGGAGAGGGAGAGATAGAAACATTAATGAAGAGAGTCGTCATTGATAGGCTGCCTCCTGCACGCCCCCTACTGGAGATTGAGCCCATAACCTGCGCATGTGCCCTGACCTAGAAACGAACCTCGATCTCCTGGATCTTAGGTCGATGCTCAGCCACTGAGCCAGGCTGGCCCAGCTTGGGGTGTGATATTGTCAAGTGTAAAGTGAGAAAACCATTATGCTGATGGAGTGAATTTAGGCAGGAAGAAACTCAAAACTCATGAAACCATTAATTTGGTAAAATAGTTATTGAGAACTTACTATGTGCCACTTCGATCCGAGCAGTGGTCAAACCTAGACTTTGTCCCTCATGGAGAGAGACACTAAATAAGAGAATGGCTGTCAGGAAATACGCAGTCTCAACACTCGAAATCATGGGATTTTGTTTTTCTTTATGTCAGGGTTGACTTTTGCAGCAGTTCACTGCTTGTCTGGGAAGTGCCAAGGTAGTCTCACGCTTTACCGGTCAAATAAATATCCCCGAGACATGCTGGGGCCTGTTACATTCATTTGGAAGTCTGAGAGGAGCCCTGGCCACACTCCTGAGAGCCGGCAGTTGTGGATCTGGCTTCACCCAACTCTCAAACAGGTATTATCCTGAGTTTGTTTCTCCATCACTCGCTACTACATTCTTGATGACTGTTGGAAATCAATACCGTAGAAACTTAAATGGTATAAAAGTTTGGTAGCTTGGTGTTTGAATATAGGAAGGAGAGTTGCATGAATATTAAATGAAGCAAATCTTGACCTCTCCCTTTTTAGAAAGCCACAAGTAGAGATGAAAACCAGCCTTATTATGCAGATGACTTGAAATACTGCCTTTGGATAAATGCTCCCACCATGCCTGAATTGGTTCCCTGGGGCCTAGGCACTTGTTAGAGCCTGTTTGACGATAAGTTGTTTTGATTAATTCTGAAGATTTGTAACACTGCATTTGGCTCAGTGTTTCCCCCCCCCCCAGCATACTTACTGTTTTTATATGATAGACTGTAAATTTTCTCTTTCAACTCATTTTTAAACAATTTGGTCAGAGTAGTCCCGTTGTTTTCATTAATCTTTGACATTTGGAGTTCCTTTTTTGTTCCAAGTGCCACACACTACTCAGAAGAACCAAAAAACCATTTTGATGATGATGAATTTAGTTTAATTTGTGAAGGAATAAAAATGTAAATTTTTAAAGGGAGAAAACAAACTAAACCACCTTAAATTTGTAACGTATTTAAATTTCAAACTTTTAAAGTGTAATGTTTAAATATATCCTTAGGGTATTTTAGAGGAAATAAAAGCAGCGTGCCAATGTGTAGAACCCATCAAATCAACTATCAGCATCCCTGACCCCCTTCTGACACCATCCCAAGAAGAAGGCCAAACTAAGCTGCCTGATGAGAAAATTGGCAAGAAAAGAAAATGGAGAGATGATGGAGAAAATGCTGAGCCAATTAAAAAATTTATCGGGGATGGAACCAGAGGTTCACACCAGCCTTATTCTTGGATCTCTCCAACCACAGGCATTATAATCAGGTACAGGGTGAATTTGCTCAGGACATTTTCTTTGAAGGCTCCCTCTGTTTTTACCAGTGGCACAGACCTCACATATCATGGAAGTTAACATTTTAAAATTTTTTCTCTTTCAGTGATTTGACAATGGAGATCAACAGATTCCGCCTGATTGGTCCACTCTCCCACTCCATCCTAACCGAGGCACTAAAAGCTGCTCCCGTCCACACTGTAAGATCAGACGTGACTGTAATGATTTATTCTAGTCATGTCTTTCCTAGCAAACTGGTGAAACCTAACACATAATGTGGTTAACATTTTGGGCCATGGCTTATAAATGTTCATTTCTTTTTTTTTTTTTTTTTTTTTTTAAATATATCTTTATTGATTTCAGAGAGAGGAAATTCGGAAAGGGAGAGAGAGAGAGAGAAACATCAATGATGAGAGAGTCACTGATCAAGTCTGCAACCTGGGCATGTGCCCTGACCGGGAATTGAACCCTGATCCCCTGGATCCCAGGTCGATGCTGAGCCATGCCCGGCTGGGCAGTAAATGTTCATTTCTATTGATGCTTATTATTAAGGACTTTGTCATCTCTTACTTTCCTAGATGAGCAAATCTAAGTGAATGTAAAAACTAAATTGACTTGTTCTCAGTTAAGTACAAATTATTCTTGCAGCTTGTGAGTTTGTTACCTTCTGCTCCATAAACAGGTAACAGTACCCTTAAAATTCATGGAAGTGTATGGCAATTTTTTTTATTTGTACTTGTGTGATGCATATTTTCTGGGGCGAGTTTTAAAGTTCTGTGACCCCTGAAAGGTTAGGAGCAGTGTGTCTAGAGCAGCATTGTCTAGTAGACCTTTCTGTGAGGACACTGTTTCTTTGTGCCATCCAGTATGGTAGCCACCAGCCACACGTAGCTTTGAGCACTTGAAATGTGGCTAGTGGGATTCAGGAACTGAATTTGTACCTTAATTTAATTTTAATGGACTAAAAATTAAATTTGAATAACTCTGTGGCTAGTGGCTACCATGTTGACAGCACAGGGCTAGAGAGTGGAGACTAGATTGGCAATCAGATACCCTGGGTTCACATTCAGTTATCTTGCTGTGTGAGTACAACGAACCTCTCAGAGCCTGTGCCCCTCACAGACTTGACGTGGTCAAATACGATGATAGATCTGAACAGCTTTTGAGCTTTTAGAAGAAAAGTACTTTAAAACACAAAGGCTACTGCTTTCTCTCTTTGTTGCTTCCACACCAGTCTCAACCACTTCTCTTCTTACCTGGCCTCTTGCCTTGAATCCTGAAGCAGCATCTTAACTTTCCTCCTTTGTTCCCCCTTTTCATTCCAGTCTCTGTGCAGGAGGCAGAGTAGCCTTTTAACAATTTCTTCACATGGTGTTATATTGTGATTAAAAGCTTTTGAATCATGTTTGAGATGAAATCCAAAGCTCCTAATGTGGCTGTAATCTGTGTCTTTCTGCCCCACCTCTCAACCCTGCTGTTCAGCCACACTGGCCTCCTTTCAGTTGGAGATTTCATCTCCCTCCGAGCCTGTGCACGTGTTTTTTTGCACTTGCTTGAATGTTCTGCCCCCACCACTCAGTGCTTGGCCAGACCTTCCTCATTCCTTGAGCTTCAACATCTGTCTCATTTCCCTACAGAATCCTTTCCTCACCCCTCAGGGTTAATGACATCCCGCCTGTAAATTATGTTGCATCTTGCACATTTCCTCAGTTTGTATGTCTGCATTTGTTTGTGTGTTTTTACAATGTGGTGTCTCTCATTAGACAGTGAGCTGCATGATGGCAAGTCAGGGCCAGTTCTGTTCTTGACTCTGTCTCCAGTGCCTAGCACAGTGCCTGGCACGGACCAGGTGCTCTGCTCCAGCTAAATGAGTCTTAGAGCAAGGATTCGAACCTAGGGAGTTTGTTTCCAGAGGCTGTACTTTAAACCACCAAGCCATGCTGCCTGAGTATTTGTGAGATAAATGGCGCGTGTTACAGCTTGCTGTAGAATCTAGGAGCACGTCCTATTTTAATAAACTTCAGTTCAGTATAAATTGTGGCTATAGGTGCTCTCCCTTGGCACGTGTGTAATACTTGAGGTGCTTTTTGAAACTTTGCTCAATTCCTGGTCTGTCAGGAATAAATGTAGGTAAAATACTTGTGTATCTCGTTTGAAATCTCTAGGAGTATTATAGTCATAATACAGCTTTTTGCTGAAGATTTCTTCAAAAGGTATTGGTTTGGTTTTCCTTTGGTGAGGAAGGTTTTATTGCTTAGATTGGTGGTGTTGCAGTTGGCAATAGAGGGAGAGGAGCAAGGAGCTCTTGGTGCTGTGCACAGAGACCTCAATCTCTGAAAACCATGGGTGTTTTCTTAGTATGTGAAATCTTGACAGAAGTGTAGTATTCTGTCCTTGCCTCTAATTAGAAGAATAGTTAGTCTGGTCTTCATTACTGCATGAAAAATAGGGACCATTACCCTGGTTCCTCCCTTAAAATGTTCATTCCCACAACAGAGAAAAGGCAGGGGAGGGGCATGATCACAACCATAATGAAATATGAAGTCTGACTCATTATTCATCTGGTAAACAGTTGTTGTTATTTTTCAGGAGGGAGAGGGCACAGAGAAGACACCTCACCATTGGTGGGTTGAAACTTGTAAGAATCCTGGTAGTGTTTCCCTTCACCACAGACAAGAAGCCATTTTTGAATTGTTGGGAGGTATGTGGAGGGGGTGCTGGGTTGTTCTGGGAAAGGAGAGAGCTGTGGGAAGTGGGTGAAAAAGAGGGTTTTGCAGTTAGACTACATTAGAAAAATTTGAAAATAGAAGCAAATATGTATACATTATGAATGACACTCTTTTAACTTGGATTTTATTTGTTGTTAAAGGAATAACCTCACCAGCAGAAATTCCAGCAGGTACTATTCTGGGACTGACAGTTGGGGATCCTCGAATAAATTTGCCTCAAAAGAGGTCCAAAGTTTTGCCCAATCCAGAAAAATGCCAAGGTAAAGTTCTTGAAACACCCCTGGTTTTCCTTACTATTTTCAGCAGTCTAGTCCCATTAGAAGAGTTCTATTTGTGACCCCCATGCAGTAACTTTACCTCTAGAAATTAGGGTGAGCTTTACCTGGCTGCTTTCAAGGTGATTATGATCACAGGAGATGGTGTGTGTGGGAGTATCTTTTAGCTGTGAAACATGTAGCCTGATCCTTATGTTCATTTAATTTCTAGTATCTAGTAAAACCTGTCTTTCTGTCAAGTGGGTTCTCTGAAAATGTTTGGTATTTCAGAATTGTCATATGAGGAAGGGATGTGCACCTGCAGCTGGTCTTGTGCTCATTGGAAGCCTCTGTCTGACCATACAGATGATCCAGGTTCGAATCCTGGCAAGGCCATCCCAGGTGCTGAAGGATAAGATGCCTTGGTTTAGACTTGGTAGAGTGGCCCGAGGGAGATATTTGGCTGGAGTGGCATAGGAGGGTGGGTAGGATTGGCTAAAATTTTAGCCTGATCTGGGACATACAGTAGTTGTGGTAATGTCTTATTGTATTTGCTGTCATTTAAGTATGGTTATTTGGAAGAATCATTAAAATTAGCTTGTGAATTTTTGGAGAAAAAAAAAATAGGTGTGTTTCATAATGACTGCAATTTTTTTTTTTAATCTCCATGTGTAGTTAGATAGCTTATTAAGGGGTCAGAAAAGGATTCTGTCAGGATGTCACATGAAAGGTGGATTGAATGAGAGGATTTAGAAGATTCACAGGTAAGTTAATTATGGAGTCGCAGACTTTAATCAATGAGGTGTTGACTCTTTCTTTTCTTTTTTAGTAGCAATGTGCTCTGGTGCTCCTAGGAGAGCTGCAGCATCTGCTGCACCATTAAATGTTGACTACCATCATCACCTTAAAGCTGTAATTCTACTCAGTTTCTCAAATTCTTTTTTTGAAATCAGGCACTTTTATATTAAATCCTTTCTAAGGCTTTTATCTTAATATGAATCAGTTCAAGGAAAATGAAAGTCTTTCTCAAAAAACATTTAATATGTATTATAAAAGCTTATCTTGTTAGTCATTGTGAAATTTCATTAAAACCTGTTTTAAATAGTTTTTTTGATGAAGAAGTATGGATTGGCATATGAGCTACATAAAGAAGTAAACTTTTGATAGATCTAAGATGGTGGCAGATTAGGTGGAAGCTACACTCACCTCCTCCCAGGATCAAACTGGAATTACAACTAAAATATAGACGAATCATCCTAAATAACCAACTGAAGACTAGCTGAAGAGAAGTCTATAACCAAGGATTTACAGAAGAAGCCACATTGAGACTGGTAGGAAGAGCAGAGATGCAAAAACAGCTGGCTCAGCTCCCATGGGTGGCGGCTGAGGTTACGGAGGGCTATCTTAGCTGCAAGGGGTTCTCCCTGAGAAGCATGGGGTCTAAACCCTCTGCTGGGCTCCCCAGCCCAGAGCATCAGAGAATCTTAAAAGCCTCAAGAGAAAAGCAGTTAGTTACCTACAAGGAGCTCCCATAAGACTGTCAGCTGATTTCTCAACAGAAACATTTTAGGCCAGATGGGATTGACATAAAGTATTTAAAGTGATGAAAAAAGGAAGGACTTACAACCAAAACTACTTTACCCAGCAAGGCTATCATTTAAAATTGAAGGAGAAATACGGAGCTTTTCAGGCAAGAAAAAACTAAAGGAGTTTGTTAACCATTGAACCAGTATTACAAGAAATGTTAAAGGGCCTGCTTTAAGAAGAAGAAAACGAAACAAAACAGAGGAACATAGTTTAAAGAATAAAATGGCAATATGTATACACCTATCAATAATCATTTTTTTATTTTCAATAATCACTTTAAATGTAAATGGCTTAAGCACTCCAATCAAAAGACATGGGGTAGCTGAATCAATAAGGAAACAAGACCCATATATAATGCTGTTTGTAAGAGACCCACCTCAGAACAAAAGATACACACAGACTAACAGTAAAGGGATAGAAAAGATATTTCATGCAAATAGAATAGAAAAAAAGCTGGGGTAGCAATACTTATATCTGACAAAGTAGACTTTAAAACAAAGGCTATACTAAGAGACAAAGAAGGACACTACGTAATAATAAAAAGAGCAATCCAACAAGAGGATATAATCCTCGTAAACATTTATGCTCCCAACATAGGAGCACCTAAATATGTAAAGCAAGTTTTGGTGGACTTTATAAAGGGAGAGGATTGACAGTAATGCAGTCATATTTGGGGATTTCAACACCCATTTATATTAATGGATAGGTCTTCCAGACAGAAAATCAACAAGGAAATGGCAGCCATAAGTGACATGCTAGATTAGATGGATTTAATTGATATCCTTAGAGCATTTCACCCTGAAGCAGCAGAATATATATTTTCAGGCGCACTTGGAACATATTCTAGGATAGACCGCATGTTAGGACACAAAACAAGTCTTAGTAAATTTAAGAGGATTGAAATCATATCAAGCATCTCCTCTGACCATAATAGTTACTGAGACACTGTTGGTTGCTTTCCCCACGAGGAAGAGCAATGTATTAGAAGCTTTTAAAGAGCTTTCATCTCAGATCTGTTCATCAATTTAATTTTCTCTAACTTTATTCCCCCCTGAAATCTCTCACGTTATGGCCCAGTCACTTCAAAAAAAATTTTTTTTCCAGGCACCAGACCCACACAGGTATGTGCCTCTGAGTGACCTTTCTATGTTGGCATTTCAGGACCATAGTCAAAACTCATGGATTGTCTGACTTTTTCTTTTAATTCTTCAGTCAACAAAAGTAGATTTGGAAGATTTTTCAACCCCGTAGTGATTAAATGACTGCATGTAGGATGTCTTTACTGTCCATGTATATGTTTATAACTAGAAAGTTCCTCCTCCTTTCCCACGAGGGCGCTGCTGGGCATGGTGTGGCGTCTTTAATGAAATAATATGTTTCACAGAAAATATGCTCATTTTAAAGGAATGGGAAAATGTGTTCAATAAAAAAGGCTTATCACAGACTTGAAATAATAGGGCTCAAGAGAAGGATAGTGTCTGTTTTCTCACCAGCACTGGGCAAGGAATAACAGGAAGAGCCCTGAAGACAGTTGGGAACGTGGCTCGTGCTATCGCTGCATGTTACCGTAGTCTGCCCCTGCAGCGGCTCCTAGACTTTGGTGATCTCAGCTGTGGAATTAGGCTGTTACGGAGGGGAAATTGTGATATTCGTATCTTCCCCACCAAAATGTTCAAAAAATAAGTTTAGGAGCCTTTGCCATTTCACAGATTATGAAACCAACCATAAGAATAATTTCATTTCTAGTCAAGTATTCTAGAGAAGTAAGTGCCTATAAAATATTTTCTAGTAACAAAAGGTCAACTGGCCACGTTTAGGGTTTGACTTCATTGATCTAAAGGACGTGGTTTGAAGGCTGTTTCTTTTCCCTCTTAGATGAGCAAGTTAGACAGCTGCTTCTGGAGGGTGTGCCTGTGGAGTGCACGCAGAGCTTTATCTGGGACCAGGCTATCTGTAAGAGTGTCACAGAGAATAAAATCTCCGATCAGGTAACTAACGTAAGGATTCTTGGTCAGGTCATGAAGATGGGTTGAAATTCGTCACTCGAGAGAGTGTAAAAGTTACTCTGTACTTTATAGAGTCCCGTAGACTTTTTTTTATTTTCAGACAATTTACTGGTCCCTTACTTATGATACATACTATGGCTGTTGTTTTTCTGTTATTAGAGAATCATCCCTAGAAAAAGTGAACACAGAGAATTTTCTTTTAAAATGATAATTTTACAGTTTAAATACATGTTTTTCTTTTATTGTTTTTTTCCTGTTAAGTGTTCTCTGTCTTTATTAATTTATTTGTTCTCCTGTCTTTAATTGCACGATGATTGTGCTCCTACAGGTATTGTATTAGATGATGGAGTAGGTGACCCTTAGATATGGTCAACAAAGTACAGGGTATAAAGGAAGCCCAAAGAAGGGATACTAAGTCCAGACTATAGACATTAGGGAAAGCTTCCTGGATGGAGGAGCTGGTATCTGAGCTGAGTCTTAGGTGGGTAGTTAGAATTAACTAGACTGTTTGGGCCAGGGGCCAAGGCTGCAGCAGAGAAAGTTTTGCTTGAAGTGAGCATGTGCAAGGGCCCAGGCCCAAAACTGGACCATTTCAGGAATCTTCAAGTAGATCAGTAGCTTGGAGTCAAAGGTGGGGCAAGAGATGAAACTGCAGACATAACAGAGACCAGAGCATAAAAGACCTTGGGGCATTTTAGGGATCTGGACTAAAGATGCAGGGCACCATTGAAGGCTTTAAGCTGGGCCATGACATGATCACATGTGTCCCCAGCAGCACAGTGGAGGGTGGATGAGACTTTGGATGGGGCTTTGGGTGGAGGAGTTGGAGAGAGGACTTGTGGTTGGGTGGCCTTAAAAGAGACCCTGGAAATAGTCAATAGTGTAGGCCATGTCTGGGGCCTGAATTGTGGTAGTATGGCCAGAGTGCAGGGGCTGAGATTGAATGCATATTCCTAGAGGGTAACGTGGACAAGACTTGGTGGTTGATTGGAAAATGGGTGGTGAGAAAGTTGGAGACTTGTAGATTAGCTCCTAAGGGTCCTGTTTGGGTTCAGGAGCTCAGCTAAAAAAGAGTCACAGCTGTATTCCCAAGTTCTAGAAAAGCGTTTGGCACGTAACAGGTGCTTAGTACATATTTGAATGAATGAGTGAGTAAATGAGTGAGCAGTAAATGTTTGAATGGATGAACGAATGAGGGAATGAACTGTGAGCACTGTGGCATCATTCAGCTAGGGTGGGAAACACAGGAGGAGAGCAAATGCAGTGGGTTTAATCTTGGATAATTGAGTTTGAGGGGCCTCAGGACTTCCCAGGAACAGATGTCCAGGAGAGGGGTTCCGATCCCAGGAGGAAAAGTCAGGGCTAAAGGGAGAGATTTTTGAAAGTACCAACATGTAGATGGTAGTGGAAACTCAAAAAGAAGAAAGTGAGAAGTTAAAGAGGAGAACCAGGACCTGGTCGTGCTTGAAGGCATCCTTGCAGGTAGACTAGCCTGGAGGCAGGATCCGGGGTAGTTCTCAGTTGAGCGGCAGGCCTCTCCCAACCTGTTCATCTCTGTACAGCTGGCAAGAAAAGCCTGAAAGAATGTTAGCTACCCCCTGTGGTCCACTTAAATAATTTATAGCACCTTTTATTTTAAATCCTTAAGACTGGGTGAGCAATTTTCTCAAGAGCCAGAGTATTTCTCGACTTGCCCCCCCTGGAGAAGTTGTTAACTGTGCCTTTTTTATTTTACGACACATCTTAACCAGAATATAAGCTTAATCCTGATATAAGAAATTAGTGGAATGAATGTATATTTTATAACTTTGAATCACCTAGTATATTCTTGCCCATGTTTGAGGTAATTCGGCATTTTCTACCAAAGCTCTTACATAGAGGAAAATCGTCGGAGGAGGGAATACCCGGTACTTAAAATGGCTCACATCTATTGAGAACACTTTTTTCTTGTTTTTTAAAAAAGCGTGTAAATTTCTAAAGCTACGTATGGGGAGACCCAGTAGAACCTCCCAGAAGACTAGGGTTGTTTGTCTTGAATTATTTTCTTCCACTTTAGGATTTAAACCGGAAGAGAAGCGAATTACTGGTGCCTGGGTCACAGCTTCTTTTAGGTCCCCACGAATCCAAGATCCCTCTACTTTTGATTCAACAGCCGGGAAAAGTGACTGGTGACGACCGGCGAAGCTGGGGAAGTGGCTGGGATGTCCTGCTCCCAAAGGGCTGGGGCATGGCTTTCTGGATTCCCTTTGTAAGTTACTTTTTGATTTGGACCAAGAGTTGCTGTGTTTAAAATGCATTCCTAATAAACACCAAGTGCTGAAAATGTTCCGGACGTGATGCACAACTTAGAAATCGAGTGCTGTTTACTGCCCTCTCAGCTATAGCCCTGATACGAGATACTTCATAAAGTCCCTGGAGCCAGGGTTTTTTTTTTTTAATAAGAGTTGCGCTGACATACTGTGAATTTTTGAGGTTTTAAAAGTGGCCTGACTTTTTTTTTTTTTAACTTAAATTTGTTACAGTTTAAAAGCAGTTTTTATAATTTTTAATTTTTATAGATGTATAAAATACATATTTGTTTAAAGTGCTGACCATATACTCCTATTTATTAACGAAAATTTTTTATTAAAATCTAATGAGTGGGTTGTTTTTCCGTTTAGTTTAAACAGTACTTTGAGCTAGAGAATATAGAAGACATAAGACCATTAGATCCAGGCAGGTAATTAGATTATGCCTAGTACAGGGGATATTCAGCTGATCATTTGGGAGTGGGAATATTTGAAAATAATTCTAATTTTTTAAATTATGAAATGTTTCAAGCATACAAAAAAGTACAGATGCTGATATAGTGAACCCCCGTGCTCTTTCCACCTGCCGTCCAGCTTAAGAAATAAAACATCGCAGGTTCACTGGAAGCACTCTCCATCGCCCCCCCAATTCCATTCCCTCCCTCCTGAAAGAATCACTGTTCTGTTTGAGGTGCCTGTCACCACCATGCATGTTTTTAAGGCTCCTTAAAGTATGCTTGTATCCCAAAAAGAAAACAGCTGTGTTCGACATGTTTTCACACTTTGTATGCCTCACTGTATATATGCTTTTGCCACTTGCTGTATTTACTCAGCATTGAGATTTTCTCCATTGACTGATGAAGCGCTCTCCCATTCATTTTTACTATTGTGCGGTAGCTCATTATAGGATTTTCCCACAGCTTATTTACCCATTCTTTTTCTGATGGTTATTTAAGTTGTTTCCCATTTACCCCATGTAAACAATGAAGCAGTTTCACTTTAAGTTGGACATTGACAGGCCCTGTTTGGCATTCCCTTCAGATCTATCGAGGTGCACGAGTGGGTGGATTAAAAGAGACTCTAGTGCATTCTCAGTATCAAAGGTCACCTTGCGTCCCAGGTGATTTCCCAGACTGCGCTGCGGGGATTCTGTTTGCTGAAGACCAAGCTGAGAATCTTCTTGAAAAGTACAAAAGGTGAGAAACTGGCTTCTCTTGTTCAGTGGTGGTGTAAGAGGAGGAGACAGGCCGGCTCACGTTGGCCAGTCCTGTTTGGAATGGCTTCAGTAACTCTTACTCTGTGCGGAGTTTCATAGGTTTTTCCTTGAGTTGCGCGTAACTGAGACATAAGCAAGTCAGGAGACCGTCTATGTCTGGCAAACATTTAGAGGCACCATCCAGGTTACAAACCCTCCCCTCGGTCATTTGCTGACATTGATGATGGTGTGAACTATGGACATGAGTTTCAGGTGCTTGTTAGATTCCCACTCCCAACCCTGACCCCTGAAAATGGAAATTGAGTTTTTTATAACTGATTATAGAGATGATACATAGGAAATTTTAATGAAACTATGAAAACCTAAAAATTCTTTATTACCTGGTGTAGTTCTTTTGTTCAGAGAGATAAGCACTGTCTTTACATTTTAGGATCTATCTGTCTAGACATTTTTTCTTGCCTTTTGTCATTGTGGGGAGTGGACGGTGAGCAGCTTTATTTCCTTTATACTGTGAAGTCCATGCTAACATTGGGAAACCCGTATTTCCTGCTCAACTGTGGCCTCCCCGGAGCACAGAAACTCTTGCTCTCTGTGGCGTGTGCAGTATCTAGCCAGTGCCTGGCGCACAGTGGGTCTTAATCACTGTTATTTGTTGACTGATGAATGAGTGAATCATTGAATGTTGTAGTTTCATTGAATTAGGAGCTCTTTCAGGGCACTGATCATACATTATTTGTCCTTGTGCCTCCTGTAATATGTAGCTGAGGGTCTTCTCAGTGTTTGTTAAGTAATAATGGACAATAATACTTATTTGTTACCCTTTAGACGTTTTTATGCATAAAATTTTTCATAGATACAATTAAAAAAAAAATATATATATATATATATACACACACACACACATGCATACACATGCTTTTTTGAAACCTGCTTTTTTTCATTTAATGGCATAGAAGGGATAATTTTCCTATACCCATAAGTATGACTCTAAGCCAAGTATTGGTGAACCTTTTCAGGAAAGGGCCAGATGCTAAATATTTTTGGCTTTGTGGGCCCTTTGGTTCCCATGGCAACTGCTCGGTTCTGCCATTGTGGTGGGAAAGCAGCCACAGAAGATGCATAAACGACTGAGCGTGGCTGCGCTCCAGACTCACTTCATGGACACTCCGATTTGAATTTCACGTCGTTTTCATGTGCCATGAAGTATTATCCTTTTGTTTGTTTCCAACCATTTAAAAATGTAAAAACCATCCTCAGCTCACGGGTCATAAAAAGCAGACCGAGGGCCAGGTTCAGCCTGTGAGTCATATTTGGCCACCTCTTGCTCCACATCTAACTGACTGGCTGTTTAGGACTCCATTATGGATGTGTTATGATTTTTTGCAATGTGCTTCCGTGAACAGCCATCCATATACATCTTTACATGTTTGATTTATCCATTCATGTAGCACATGTCTGTTTAGAGCCTATTGTATGTTAAACAACCTTTCTAAGCACTGGGGCTCTCCTCTTTGGTTTTCATTAGACGCCCTCCTGCAAAACGGCCCAACTATGTGAAGCTGGGCACTCTGGCACCGTTCTGCTGTCCCTGGGAGCAGTTAGCTCGAGACTGGGAATCCAGAGTCCAGGCCCAGGAGAACAGCTTGAGAGACCAGGAGCCTTGTGCTTCCATGCCTGGGCAAACCCGTCAGGTGCCTGGTGAAGTGGGCACATCCCTACACGACTCCAGTGAGCCTGAGGTAGTAATGGACACAGAGTGTCCAGCCCAGGCGGGGACTGAGGCGGTGTCGGGCCCGGAGGTCACTGGCAGACTCCCCTGTGTTCTTAGGTAAGTGCTCACGGCTTCCGGACACGATTTGGATCGTCTCTCTTAATACTGACCAGGCTGTAGGGTGTAAACGTATCATTGTTCCTTGATGCACAGCCCAAGTGAATTTCTGGACTTCCATGGAGACCCAATGGAAACAGCTAAATCACATTAGATTTGGGGCACGATACTAACTGACGAAGTGATTGGAAATATTGTCACCCACAGACCTACACCGAGGTGGTTTTTCTCTAACGATGTATTTCGGTTCTTCTGTTCACAAAGCAGTACCTTCACGGTGTATTTGAGGCGACGAGCCCCTGCAGACCCCGGGCCAGCATTCTTTGCTTTAAGTCACTGAATTATTTTTTTTCCCCCCATTCCTTTGGAATGATCTGAATTTGTGGCCGATTAGGTAATGGTTCATTGTAATGTCATATCATAGAGGCCACCAAATGAAATGTGTCCTACTCAGGACTGCTGCAGGCAGTTAGATTTTGCTTATCAGTTACCCTTAATTCTGTGCTCTGGTTTTTTTTTATTTATTGTGTGCCCTGATTTTTTTAAAAAGTGCTCACCCTTCTTGCCTTATGCCTATTTTTTTACCTGTAACTCCCTTAGAGTTTCTTCGTAATCAGAGCATCAGCCCCCCTTTAATCCTCTCGCTGTGATCACAGCCTTAGATTCTATCCCACTGCCTTATTTTTCTCTGCTTTCAACTTCTTAAACTGTTAGTCTTTCTGTCTCAGAACAGCAGACACATAAAAAGTAAAATAGGATAAAAATGCATTAATGTTCATTTTAATTTTTTAAAACTTGGGTTTTGACCCTTTTCCACACAGGGTGTAAAAGTTAATTAGCTCTGGCAATGCCTAACCTTCTAACTGCCTGTTTTCTCCTTGAACAAAATGCCCTCAAACACGTAGGAGCAGGACATCGCTGAAGCAGCTGTCAGCCTGGTGTGGGCCCAGTTCTGGGGACGGTCGGGCAGCCCGGCGAGCTCCCGGCAGGGGGCAGCCCGAACTGACCCCCTCGGCCTGCCTGTCGCTCGTGGCCCGCTTCCCCAGGGCCCTGGTGTGGGTCAGCCTGGCCCTGCTCAGGAAGGGCAGCCCCGAGCCGCACACTATGATCTGTGTCCCAGCCAAGGAGGACCTCCTGCAGCTCAGTGGGGACCGACTCTACCGTGGGCCCCAGGAACCCAAGCACAGCGACCCCTTCAAGAGCAAGGTCCGGGAACAGAAAGAGACAAAGAGAAGAGAGAAGAGGCGGAGCCACGGGCCTGCTGCAGCAGAGGGCCTGACAGCGGGGGACCAGACAGCAGGGGACCAGACAGCCAGGGACCTGACAGCAGGACACCAAGCTCTGACCCTGGGCTTGTGGCCAGGCCCGCTCCCCGACCTGACTTCTCACTGCTCCCGAGTTCTCCTGGGCTTCGTCACGCAGGGAGACTTTTCCATGGCCGTGGGCTGCGGGGAAGCCCTGGGGTTCGTGAGTTTGACGGGCTTGCTGGATATGCTGTCGGGCCAGCCCGCAGCCCAGAGGGGCCTGGTGCTGCTGAGGCCCCCCGCCTCTCTGCAGTATCGGTTTGCGAGGATCGCTGTTGAGGTGTGACTGCCAGTTTGCATCCTTGCAGGGCACGGATGGTAACTGTTGGCCAAGTCCCACAGTTGGAAAGTTTGGTTTTAGCTGTCTTCTGTTTTGAAATGTCGTGTGGAACTCCTTGGAAACAAGAATAAAAAAATGATTTGTTATGCAAATGGATGAAATGTTTACCTCATTCCAGTAATCTCGATGATTTCCGTCTCTCTGTCCTTGCTGTAATACTTTGAAATTATTAGGCGTAGAGAGCCAGAGCCTTTCTGTTAGGATTTCTTGGTCTGTGTCATTCTTGCTGAAAATGACGAGAAGCTCTATGTTTCCTTGTCCCCTTTTTTATTAGAAACAAAGGGCCACCGGGGCTGTTTAGAAACCTTGGGATCATGTGATGAGCAGTGAAGGTGGTTTAGTGATTTGATTGTTACAGGAGAGGCACAGGAGAGGCATCTGGCCTCTGGACATGAAATATTCCCTCATCGGGCCATGCTCTGTGCTGCGCTATAATCGGCATGCCCAACGCTGGGCACCGTGAGCGAGGACATCGTGGAAAACGTATCGCTGCCCCTTCCCGGCAGCCTTGGGCTGTGGCGAGTGTTAGGGTGGAATACAGGGCAGTCTCTGATTTCATCGTCCCAGCCCTCTTCCTTGCCGACCAACCCGGGATCCTCGCAGCTCATTACATTTTCTAGGCTTTTTGTTTCTGCAAAGAATTTCTCAAAGCCATAGAGGAGCATTTCAAAAATACGTTCTGTGAAATGTGTTACATGCCCCCCTCCTCCCAAAAAGCAAGAGAGTCCAAGGTCAGATTGATTTGGGAAGCTCTGGGTTAAACACAGTTAAGCATTTCTTTTTCAAGGGCTTCTAGAACCTTCCATGTGATAATGTACATTGTGACTCTCCGGGAAGCGGGTAATAGTCTGTAGTGGTTTCTAAATCTTTTTGATCCCAAACTCCTTTTGCAAGGAGCACCTTATAGGACCCGTGTTCTCAGTAACATGCTTTGTAAACATGGCCGTACAGTGCGGCACTCACCTCGATGTCGACGACCATGATGACAAGCTGCTTTTAATATTCGTGCAGTCGCATTGTCGGCCTGACACTGAGCAGGGCATAAAAGAGGTCTCATCCTGTCCCATAGGAAGAGTGGGGTTATCGTGGTTTTTTATTTGCAGGGAAACAAGTGCTCATAAACTTTTTTTAAAAATATGTTTTTATTGATTTCAGAGAGAGGAAGGGAGAGGGAAAGAGAAACGACAATAATGAGAGAGTCACTGATCGGCTGCCTCCTGCACACCTCCGACTGGGGATCGAGCCTGCAACCCGGGCCTGTGCCCTGACTGGGAGTCGAACCGTGACCTCCAGGTCCATGGGTTGACGCTGAACCACTGAGCCCCGCTGGCCGGGCAGTGCTCATAGACTTTTAGTCGCCATGTATGTCTCACTCATCCCCTCAGTCCCTTATTTTCCGGCCATAAATTCTAGCAGAGCTTGAGTGGGATATTTTTTAAAATTTAAATCGTACAGTTAGGCATTATTTCCTGTAAACACACTGAGCTGCTACAGTAGCATCTGGCACTGAATACCTTTGGGAATGATGAGCTGGGGGGGAGAGACAAGTATTATCGTAGCTGATGGAATGTCTGGTGTCTTCCCTCTCACCCTGCCTCTAAATGTATTTGTGTCCAACCCAAGTGAGACTGAAAAAAAGAGTCTAACTCAGTGGTGTCTGTAAACAATAAATGAGAGTGTCACCTGATGCTCAGTTGTGAATGTTTATTGGCGCAACCTGCTTTCCAGGCTCTAAGCCACTTCGTCTGTGGCCTGGCTCGCTGACAACAGGCGTCCGAGAGTGTCGTGACTCACTGAGCCGGCCGCTTGCCCTGGGCACAGGGGACAGGCCACGCTTCGCTCTGCAGCGGTAGGTCAGACTGTGCACTGAGAGGTAGACTAGGATTTCCCAAAACATATTCCTGGAAAAAAGTGTTTCACGGCTAAATAAATGGGGGGGAAGCTCCGTGCTGCACCCTCCTCTTGCTGATGGACTGTTAGTCTGATCGAGGCTCTGCGGGTACCTGCAGGAAGGAAATGTCTTTCTCAGATGCCCCTTCCCACTTGCTTGCTTCGTTTCTTTTTTTGCATAGGTGTTGTCCTGAGAACACTAGTTTCATGGAATATACTGGAATGTGTTTATTTTGATCCTACTAGATGCCTGCTGAGCTACCAAATAGGCACAGCCCGGCCCCCAGCCGCTTGTCGAGGGGCAGAGATTGTAAAGCTCATCAAGTCCTGGAGGACTGTGAGCTGAGCACCCAGAGACCAGCTCCACCCCGAGCTATGTACCAAACAATTGATTCTCTATGCTCTGCTCTGTTTTACTTAAGTAGTATTTTTATATTAATAATCCACATTCATCACAAACTAGAAGATTCGGATAAGCAACAACCTAAGTCACCTGGATTTCCAGCATCCTTCTGGGCTCTGAGACGTGTGGTTTCCTTTTAAGAAAAACGGCATCAGTAATTGCTTACACGAAAACCTACGCGATGCGCATCCGGTGCGCGTGCCGGAGCTTGGTGAGCGGGAGGAGCCCTGGTGCTCGTGCTCCTTTGGTGGGAAGTAGGAAGTCAGCAGGCGCGTCTAGCACTCCGGGTGGCACTGCCGTCTTGCCTGCTACATGCCCAGGTGCGTGCTTCCCAGCCCGTGGGAGGTGAGGTGGGCAGTGGTGGCTGGAGGGACTCCATAGAGCCTTAGCTGATGTGCTGTGGCCAGTCTGAGGTCCAGAGCCTGGAAGCCAGGTCCAGGACTGGGCTGCCTGGCAGATGATAGAAGGTAGCGAAGACCAGCAACTGCGGCCACTCGGAGCAGCAATCCCGGTTACACAGGAGCTGTCCTGGTCACCCCAGAGCACGGAGGACCACAGGTGCAGCCTTTCCTTTGACAGCAGTGGCTTTGGCTTCTGGCTGCGCATGAGAATCACCTGATAGCCCAGGCTTCCCCCCAGTCTCGGGTTGGGCCCAAGCGTCCGTATTAGAAGCTCCCAGGCAGTTCTGATGTGTGACTTGGGCTGGGGACTGCGGCTTTCAGAGGCCTGGCTCTTAGGACCCTCTGCACTTAGGGGAAGCGGTTTGAGTAACGAGGCCGGGGAAACCTTACGACTCTGCTGTTAGCAGGCCCGGCTCACAGGGCCTGTTGCGAAGCAGCCAGCTGGGAACTTCATGAGAGCATGGTGGCGAGGGCTGGGTGGCCAGAGAGGGCACTTGCACTGGGGAAGGGGCCTGGGCTTGGACACGTGAACAGCCTGGCTCATTACTCGTAGAACCTAACTCCTGGGGCGTATAAAAGGGGGTCTTTTTCATCTATTTCCTCCGGGGGAGTACCCTTCCAGGTCAGCTATTGTTGACCTTGGCTGCACATTGGGATCACCTGGGAGCTTTCCCAGTCCTGGAGCCGGGTCCGCCCCCAGGATGCTGACTTAGCCGGTCAGGGGTGCAACCGGCCTGGACGCTGGGATTCTTGAGAACTCCCAGGTGACTCGCAGCCTGGGTTGAGCACCACTGTTCTGGATGCTTAATATGAGGTCCCAGTGTCATGAGCCAAGGACACAGAAACGTATCAGTAACGGGGAGCCCTGCAGGGCGGAGCAGATGCAGGCTGTCCTGAGTGGGCACGGAGCTGTCACGGAGGGGTGTCCCTGGATAGGTACTGCTGGGTCTGAGCAAACAGCCAAGTTCACGTAATGGCATTTCCCTTCTCTGCCTTTTTTAAAAATTAAAATTTAACCAGGTACCCCTAACCATCCATGTGTTTTCACTAAAGGAGATGTTAGCAAGCGTGGACCCCTCCCATCTCATCGCAGGCCTCTCAGCCTCACCCCAAGCTGTGCACACGCTGGTCTGTGGGTTCCTTGGTGCCTCCACGACCTGGCAGGAGCTGTGCTCGGCCTTCGTGGAACGTTCTCGCCCCTCCCTCCCCAGGCTTCCTGCACATCTGTGCCCTCCCATCCCATCCTTCTGAGCTCAACTTCACGTTTCTCAGAGGGGCCTCCTGCCTACGCTTTTTTCCATCACAAGGGGTTTATTTCCTGATGACACCACAGTAGGTAATAATTCTTTCGCCGTTGCTTACTGTCCGCTCTGCTGGGCTGTGAGCCTCGCGAAGGGGAGACCGCCTTACTCGATCACTTGGTCCTCGCGAGGTGGCTCGGCGCCTGCCCGCAGCCTGTGTTCGGCATGTTTTTGTCGATGTGTTTTCGTTTGTCGGAGTTTGTCGGAAACTGTCCGGTACTATTTCAGCCCAGGCACACGTTGTGATAAGGCGCAAATCAGCCACCGGGTGGCGCCAAGGCCTCGTGAGAAAACAGCCCGCTCTGGAAACATGGGAACTAGCCCGCTTCAGTTGTGTGTGTTGTTGGAATGCGGAGTTCGTGAGGTTACAGATCCATCCACATGATCCCCAGTACGTTGGGGCCCCCCATCGTGAGCAGAATGCCCCCAGGGACAGGGAGCTCACTCGGCGGGGTGGCCGCCTCCCCCTGGCAGCACTCGGACGGGCCAGCTGCCTCTTCAGCGCCATCCTCACTCCGTCAGCGACACCGAGGGGCAGCCTTTTCTCTTTAGGGAGCCAGTTACCGGCCTTTTGCTTTTTCTCTCCGGCAGGCTAAACAAGCTGCATTTCTTCAGCTTTCCTTCTTCTGTCCAACATCTCACAGAGGACCCGAAATTGTTTTCTGGACAAGACATAATTTGTTCTCAGAACAGCCCTGTATGGCTGCGTGAGCCCCAGGCGGGGGCTGCGCTGGCTCAGGGAGAGCCCGGGACGTTCTGGGCCGCTGCCGACCCTCTGAAGTCTGCAGCCTCCCCCGCCCTGGCCCTGCAGGATACAGCTGCTGCTGCTTGAGGCAGGTGCGAGCCTGGTGAGCCTCCAAAGCAGCGCCTGGGACGGCTTACATGTCATTTATTTTAGGAAGTGATCTAAGGAGACGGAAGAGTGGAGCCTGGACAGCGTGGACTGGGGAAGAGATGAAAGCCAGTCCAAGCGGGCATCGCTCAGCTGGTTACCACGGGGCAAGGGACTGTCCACGCGAGGCCCAGGAGAGGGGAACCTGCGTTTGCAGCTCTCGTTGCCCATGGCCACGGGGTGCCCTGGGAGCGTTTCGTGCCTTTTCC